TATAAATATAAACATTTACTATATATTTTGATTGCATTTCTTAAATGTAAATGAATGAGAACCAGATTATTTAATACGCCTCAGAGTTACCTGATGAATTACCAGCATTTTATTCATTCATTCTTTCTTTAATTCATTTATTCTTTCAGTCATTCATGCATCCAACTTTTAGCTTCCTAGTTCTCCCAGGCAGTTTGTAATTGCAGTTCCTCCTGATTCTATCACAAACCTTCTGCAGCAAATATACAAGTTACTGTGATTTACTGATGCTTGTGGCAACTCAGCTTATCCTTAGGCATCACAACATTCTCTGTCTCCCAGGACCAAAACTGTCTGAAGGCAGTTTGTGGGTATTACCCTCAGAGTATGGGCCAATAACTGCTTTGGAAAGAGAGAATTTGCTGATCCTACTTTGGCTACTATAATATTCATGATATTTTTTAAGAGAGCTAAGTCATCCTTTTACTTTTTTAAAGTTCTCTCTAGCAATGATAGTTTCACTAATTCTGCCAAAAAGTACCTTTAACCTTTTGTGCTAGAGCTGCTGTGATGTACTTCATTATGACTGAGAATTAGCTGGCATTTACAGAGACGTGGGTTTGAGAAATAGGTCTCATATTGCGTATGCCTTGATAGTTAGACTGGAGCATAAGCACACCCTGTCCTAGGCAGAATGCCTGGCTCCCCAGGGTGCACACCAATGAAAACAGTTCTGCCTTTTGGCATTATCTTTTGTTTGGTTAGTATTTCTTATTTTCTACTTCCTTTCAATAAACTCAATATTATGTTACCAAACCCCGTAACATTTTTCTTTGTTTAAGGTATTTTTCCCTTCCTAGCAAAGACTCTCTTATTAGGATGAAAAATTAAGGCAACATTTTTCTTTAAGGTATTTTTCCCTTTGTAGCAAAGATTCTCTTATTAGAATGAAAAATTTAGACACAGTCATTTTAGAAATTATAAGCAAAAGCCTGTTAGGATTAACAAAGTTCATTGACAATTAATAACAACAGTATTTATGTTGTCTGTGATATCTGTAGGTTTCCTTTAAATAATTCAAGACTTAATGCAAGTAAACATGTTATAAAAAGCTACTGAAGCTTTAGTGCATGGCTGTAATCCCAGCACTCTGGGACACTGAGACAGGAGGATCACAAACTGGAGCCCCACTTGAGCACTTGGAGTGATCCTGTTTCAAAATAAAGTGTAAAATAGGGCTGGGAATGTAGCCTGGTGTACAAGCCCTGAGTTCAATCCCCAGTACCAAAAAAAGAGGATGTAACCTAGTGTAAAGGCTCTGGGTTCAATCCCTAGTATCACCACCATTGCAAAAAAAAATGTTATTCGCATAAAGGGATTTTAGATAGATACTCTTATAAACATCCCACATATTAAAAATTAAATATTAAAAACTAATATTTAAATTTGGACATTAAAGAGAATGAAATACCACTGGATAAGGTCAATGGCAGATGTCACAAGCTGGCAGCATCATTTGAGTTCTGAATTTAGTAGTTCTAGTAAATTGGTGTTATCAGCATAGTTAGAATCAGTCAGTCCTAATGTGATTGATTTGGCATTATGCAAACTCCCAAGAGACAATTAATTTAACATGGGGCTAGAAAATTATCCTAATCTCTGACACCCAGGCTACTTCCTTTCTCATATTAGCACTCTAGGAAGACAAATTAGTCACCAAAATAACTCTTGGCCTGAGTAAATTCTACGGAGGCCGAAGTAGTGCTCCTGGGACGTTGTTCGTCAGGGCTTTGGGTATTTAATACACTGACAGGGTTCAAATACAGACTCTGGCACTTACCTGTGACTTTGGTTTTCTCTTCTGGAAAAAGAGGAAAACAGTAGCCCTTCATGACATTTCCCTGAAGATTAGATGAGTTATTACAGTGTTTAAAGTGCTTGTAACTGTATTTCGCACATGCCAAATGCTGTAGTTGTGCTTGTTTGCATTATTTGAGAAGCATTTTAGCAGAAATGAAGAAAATTACCCTCCTCCACCCAGCTTTAGTGACCAGATTTCTCATATTCCTGGATTCTTTGGAAAGGTATTGGTTCCTGTTTGGTACAAAACAATGCAGTAAATGAGATATAGAAAGGGGAGAAGAACACTTCAGAGCTAGTAGTCTAAATTCAAGGAACTTGTATAGAACTTCTCTCTGACTTCATTATTAAATTAATTTCAAGGGACTACATTGCTAATACTTCTTAACTGGGTCAACTGGGCTTTGCCATTGTTCTCTCATCTTTCGAAAATCATTTAAAGAGCTGTGCAAGGTGTCTTACAAATGAAGTTAGACAAGGGCTTTAGTACATTCTATAAATTGATTCTGTATAGTTGTAAATTATGCTGACAGGCTTTCTTGTAGCACAATGAGGTCAAACAATCTCATGGAAAATGGCCTTTTCATGTAATATCCAAGCCAAAAAAGGGGAATCATAAAGATACCAGATCATGTGTACAGAAAAAACATTGTAAATCCAAGACCATGGATACTTTTCAATCTTAAAGGGATGAAATGATACACAATATGAAAACATACAGAAATAGGAATTTAAAGATATGATTATAAAGTATCTGCTACATGAAAATATACTGTATCACATGCTGTAAACTATAAGAAAAATTTTAAACTACAACTTGTGATTTTAGAGTTTATAGTTTAAAAGAAGGACAAAAATATGTACGTAATTAACTAAATAAAAAAGCATTTAATGCCATAAAAGTTTAGCCTGAAAGGACATACCTGGATTTGAATTGATCTACCAAAAAAGTTAGCTCATTCGATGGGGTGATTAACATTCATCAGCTTATGAGATGTAACCCCTTCCACAAAGGGATGTTAATATCTATATACTAAATTCTTAAATAATTATCAGGCCACAGGGTAGAGAACAGAAATAAGATCAACTTTAGAGTTAGAAAAACTTGAATTAAAACTTCGCCCAAACAATTATAAAAGAGATGACTCCAATAAGTAAACTTCATCCCAGAACTCATTGCCATCTTTAATTTCCTCTTCCAACCTCATTCTTCATACAGTTAATCAATAGATTAATCCTCACACATGTCTTGAATACATCCGCATCCTACTCCTAACACTGACCTTTATCATTTATTATTGATTCTGTGACCCCAAGAGTCACTTCTCATCACTCACATAATGTAAGTCACTTCTTAACCAGGCATTTAAGACATTCAATGAATCAAACGTTGCTTACATTTTTAACTTCATACAATGATCCTCCTTCATATATTTCCTATGTCTTTCCAAGCACCCACCTGTTGCATATCTCTGTGCCTTCACAAATTGCTATTTTTAATGTCAGAAGCTGAGACTTTATCCACATCTTTCCCACCCAGAAAAGTTTAAGATTTTATTCTTCTTCCAACATTCAAACACCATCACCTTTATGAAGGACTCCTTGAGGATACCAGGCATAAGAAGTTATTACATCATCAGCACCTGCACAGCATATTTTATATACCTGTGTTAGCACAACACTGCCATTATTTGTGGATAAGCCAACAAATAGTCTCAACAAGATCAAACACCAGATGACAAAGATAGGGTCTTTCACTTTTGAATTCTCAGCCCTAAGATGATGTCTGCCATGCAGAGGTTGTGTAACAATGCTTGTCATAGCAATGATGTCAGATTTGAGAATGAGTGGAAATAACCAAGAAAATGTTTTGTGGAAGTGGCATTTGATGTAGGCCTTGAAAGACTTAAAAAATATTTTAGGAATTTTAAATACGCAAACTTGAGAAGTTCAGTGTTTTAAATACAGAAATGGTTATGTATACTGTGGTGATTTTTAAATACATATATATCTTACAAGCTGAAGCTTTGTCTTTTTAAGACCCTTAGAGAAGTGCTTTCGTATGGTGAAAATTTTATCTTTATATTATTTGATTTAAAGAAGGATTCATCTTGTGCCTCCTGGAGGAGGAATACTTGTTTTCAGAATACTGCCATCTTGATTTTCTAGTACAATGTAGTATCAAAAACACTTGGCCTTTCAGGTGGATCATAGATGATTTTCCATATGGCTCTACATATATCTTACAGCAATTAGAAATGTGGATATTCACTCTTGCATGTTAAATTTCTCCTGAACTTATTAAAACTATAGAAACAAGTATACCTTTAAACCACAATGGAAAACGTGTGACAACTTTGGACATCTCAGTGCTGTTCCATTTCACTCTCCTTGAGCAAATCATCTGAGCCTGATTGTAAAGTAACAGCTTGGATATTTTTGCATTCCAAATCATGTCTAGGTTACCAGTGATGGTTCCTCCTCTGGCAGATTTCTTATATGTGAATCATTAAATGGCATTCAAATACTTTCTCGAACATTCCATTTTTAACTGTTGCATATTGTCATGTATCAGTTAAAATAGAGGAAATAGCTTGGACACCAATAAAAGAATCATGAGTAAGAGACTCAGAATGCAGTCTAGAAAGAAAATCTATACTTTTGCATTCTGCTTTAAGGAAAACAATTCCCATTATTCTAGGCATTCGTATTTATTAGCACAAAGTTTTTGGTTTTGACTACACAGTGTGGTTAAGAGTCCAGGTGAATGTAGTTTTACTTCACAGGAAAGAGCCCCGTGAAGAAATCTCTCAGGTGTCGGTAGATCTTCACTTGGGAAATCCTTGCATAGTAGGAAAGATACTGGCTAAATTTAAGGAGCTCAGGAGGTAGCTAGAGGAAACATTAAGTGAAAGAGTAGCATACGAGATGTAACTAAAGGTGTGTTCACATAATTCAAGGCGCGGATTACAAAGGCAAACTTGGAAGTGGAGGGACAGTTTCCTTTTATCTCTTCTCCCTGTCAAGTTACAAAGGCTTGCTACAGCCTTTGGGACTTTTCAACCAGTTCTCGCTCAACCTCCAATCCCCCTTGGAGTTGTTCCAAGGCAACCTGGACTTTTGTTGACTGGTTTTTTTTTTGTTAAAGGAAAGCAATTTCGTTTTCGCGGTAACGCGTGTATTTACGAGACTCTGCCCTTCTCGGACCCTGAGCTAGTGTTCCCAGAGCATAAGGTGCAAAGGAAAGGCGCTGATGGGGCAGTGGGGACGATCTCCTTGCGAACTGCAGCAGTACCTGCCAGGGAGTAACCAACAAGCAGCAGATTTATGTGCACTTTGAAAGAAGCACCGCCACCATTGGCTTTCCGAGTGCTCTATACCTAGGGAGCGGCTGGTAAGGTGAACACAGCCTCTGGAGAAGCCCGGGCTGTTCGTTCCTGGAACCCGGGAGAGGAGGCAGCTCCAGTGGCGCGCACTGGGGCGCGCTCGCGCTCGCCCTGCGCCCCCAGCGCAGCTCTAGGGGGAGCTGCACCGCGGCCACTCGCCGCCGCCCCCAGATTCCTGCTGCTGCCGCCCAGAGGAGAAACGCGACTCTGCTTCAAATTTCCTCCGGGCGCCGGCGCTGCAGAGAGCCGGGCGGGTGGGCGCGAGGACGAGAAGGCGATGAATGAGTTCTCCCTTTGCCTCGGAGTTGACTGAGTTGGCGGCGCCGCGCCCAGGTTTCTTGCTCTCTGCGCCCCAGGAGCTGGAGGCTCCCGGGGTCGCTGCCCACTCCAGCGGCGGGGACCCAGCCAGCCGCGCCAGGGGAGCCAAGGCTCCGGGGCGCCTGTCCGGCCTCCGTTGGGGGCCAGGGCGGGTGGACCCCGCGGAGGGGCACTGTGGCACGGGCTTCCCGCACTTCGTCCGCGGTCCGGTTGGTCTCTCCATGGCGTCTCGTCAGCAGACCCGGATCCAGGCTTACCTGGAGAAGAACAAGATCGGTCCTCTGTTTGAGGTAAGGCGCCGTGGAGAAGGACAGCCCCGCTGGCTTTGGGGGAAGAGGTGCAGAAACCAAACCAGAACACCCTCGAGGGAAGGAGGGATACAGAGCAAAGGAGCGGGAGAGGGCGCCCCGGGGCCCCGGTTCAGTGGCATTCGCTCTGCCTGGCCCAGGTGTCCTGGAAGGAGGCCGGGCGGGCACCTGGCCCGTTGCTGGGACGCGGACAGGTGAGCTCCGAAGAGCCCAGCCTCAGGCTGGCAGGGCAGTTTTGAGCCATCTCACTGTCCTGCACCTTGTGGCCACAGTGCAGGATACACACACTCAGATGATCTTACACACACACACACACACACACACACACACACGCACTTTCTTCCGGGAATTCACAATACCTTGCATGGTTTTTTAAAAAATGTGGGCGGTAGTAGAACCGAAAAAGTGGAGGAGATGCTCAGCAGTGGAAAGGAAGATGGTTAACTCAGACAAAAAGCTGATGGCCAGGAATAGGTGTGAGTAGGTGCGGGCGCATTGAAAGAAATTAAACCACCACGGGGAGACTGCCAATTGATCTCTGGATGGAAGGCAAGGCTTTGGCGTGGCAGACCTCACTGTGATGGTCCGATGAGGCGGGAGAGCAGCTCTGGAAAAGGCGCATGAGTATTTACAGGAAGGAGAAGGATGGCTCTGAGCTATTTTCTTTCGCCATCAAATACTGAAGGCAAAAGCACAGGACCAGGAAAAAAGAGCGGGAGGACCAGAAACGTGAGAACTGGAGATGCGAACCTGACACCAGCAAAGCGTCGGCCAGTTGCCAGGGCGTGGCGCGGCGCGCGGGATAGGGCGGGGTGCGTCGGGCAGGTAGTGCGGTCCGACCCGAAGGCGCCCCTGTCCCACCCCCTCCAACGTCCCAGCTGCACAGAGCGGGGCAGGAAGAGTACGTGGGAGGGGAAGCGCGCCCCTGCGCTGCACTGAAGCCGCTGCGGCTGTTCTCGGAGGACACTCAGTGCGGAGCAGAGAAAGCGAGAGCCCTGGAGATGGCAGGGAAGGGAGAGGCTTCTTTGGGACTGAAGAGATGCGACAGAGATCGGGGGGAGGGGGGCACAAAAAGGGAGAGGAGAACAAAGGTGTGGTCGAACAGATCTTTTCTCTGGGGAGGCTGGGTTTCCAGTAGCCAAGGCTAGTCGTATTTCCGAAGTTTATCTGCCCAACTTTTAAGTTAACATTATAGTTTCTGGTAAGGCACGGCTATTATTTTAAAAGAAGCTCTTTGAAAGGGTTCACTAAGTCCTACAATTGTCTTGACTTTGGTTTCTGCCTTTTGTTTCCTTTAGCAAAGGAAGTCTTGTCCCTGTTCAAGGTGGTAGCAAAATAGAATTGCTGGAGTTACCAAAATGCCCTCCTTGTAATGATTATAGACTCCACACCATTTTAGGGGAAAAAAGACACACACACACATACACACACACACACACACACACACGGGGGGGGGGTAAAGAGAATATTTATAGCCCTTTACAATATATTAATTGGATCACAAGAATCATAAAATGAATAGATTTGGAATTTGTACCTGCTGGTGGCTCTACTAGAAAATAAAACATAATTAGCCAGGGAAATATGCATGAATTGTTTTCAGTAGATACTGTTCTCATTTAACTTATTTTTAAAATCCCAAGATTCTTTCCAAGTGATAATAATAGAGTTTGGAATATATGTAAACTTTCTATATAGTTAGGAAATAATCCCCCCTTGATATTTTTCAAGTGCCAGCCATAATGCTCCGAACTAAGTCTGCACTGGAGAAGTTTAAATGATGGCAAACTTTTCTCATTAAAAACTTTAGATTTCCTCACCAAAAAGCACAATTAAATTATTTGCTTTGTAGTTATTGAATACATATTACACAGTTTCCACTAGCTTGGATTGCACTGACACATAATTACTTTTCAAGGGTTGATGTTTACTTTATATAATCGAACAGCGAAAAATGTATAAGTTCTCTTCTAAAATGAGGATGGGACAGCAGGATCTTTAGTCAACAATTTTGATCATGATAGAACTTGGTTTTGGGAATAGAATTATGTGTACTTCATGAAATTGGGAAATCTCGCCAGCCTATCTTGTAACTTCTCTCTCCTTATGCAAGAAAACAAGTAAAGAAATATCACCCATGAAGTGAACATTCTTGATATCACATTCTTTTTTTTTTGTATATCCTTGTATTGGTACATTTTAGGTGTACAATATAATGACATTCATCATTGAAAATTTGCACCTTTACATGCTCTCTTGGTTTTTATTTTTCCCCCTTCCCTTGCCCTCCCTTCAACCCCTCCACCCCTCCCTATTTACAAAGACTTTGTTTCCATTTTTTTCCTTTTCTCATATTAATCCCATTCCCTTCTTTCCTTTCCCCTATCCCTCCCACTTCCCCTTTACCCCTTTTCTTCCTATTTCACATTATCTATTATACCTTTTAGTCCTTATTTACACTCTCAGTTTCTCACACTAGAGAAACTATTCCATATTTACACATGTGTGTCCTATTTATTTCGCTTAAGAGTATGGCCTCAATGTGCTTCCATTTAGCTATAAATATCTCTAATTTCTCATTTGTGATGGCTGAGTAGCACTCCCTTTTGACCTCACATTCTTGTCAAAGCTCTGAGGACTTACACAGCGGTTCTCATCATTGATTTAGAAAGTCAGAGGAGGTTCCTAAAAACCTGCATTTATGAAGCAGCTTAAATAATTGCTAAAGTTGTAAGTTCTGGGCTAAATTTTAAGAAACAATGAAAAAACTAAAAATCTCCATTAATCAGAAATTGAAATAGGCAGCTTCAGTTTTCTTACGTGTGCTTTGTTGTGATTTGTTGTGTTGAGACCCTGGAGTAGGTGACAGTTACTTTAGTTTTTGGCAATATTCAGGATCTGATAATATATATGTCCCCTTTGTGGATATTGTCAGTTAGGAATGTTTTTAAGAAATTTTTTTAGAGTGAGACACTTTAAAGAGAATACAAGAAGCTTAATTAAACAAGAGTAAAGATAACTTACGTATTGGTATTGACATTCCTGTTTCTTTTAAATTTGTAAAGTTTATTTACTCAATTTCTCAGTTACTTGGTTTATCTCTAATATTTTATTTGAGATGCTTATAAAACACATATTGAATGCAATGTATATTCCAAAATTACTTAAACTGAAATTAGTTTTGTTTCCAAGTGATTTAAGAGCATAAAATTATACTACCTTTAAATGTGATTGAAGATATTTTGAAATACTATGTAATTATGCCTAAAAATCACCAAGAGTCCTGGCTAATGATATTTTAATTAAATAATTGGTAGTTATAAAGTGAAAATGCCTTATGGTATGTTCTGCAAACTCTTGGAAATTTTTGTAACATATAATAATTTCAATGTTTTGATTGGTTTATTCACAGAAGGTGAACCATGAAGAACCCACCCTGGTTATCAGTATATAGGAAATTCTTGATACTGGTGAAGTAATTCAGATCTATAATCCAACTTAAATATTCCACACATAACTCCTTAACTGGCAAGATGTGAAATGGTTAGGCTCCTACCAAAATACGATAAATTTCCTATTTTTTAATAATAGTTTTACATTGTGCCTTAGGCAAGATGCTTGGTACAAGCACTGGACTTGTTTCAAACCCTGAGGACAGCCAGTTAATAGGCAGAGACATTGGCAATCAGAAATTCTGAGACTGAATCATTGTCTGGCTAATAGCTTCTTAGTAGACTACCAATGGTCTGCTTTGTCTATACTGTAAGGAGTTTCATTCAGTTCTTGTAAAATGATGTGAAATAAATTCCTTTTTTTCCACATATTTTCCACATATTAAAGTATGTAATTTTTACTTTCTCCCATTCCTATTAAATAAATAAAATGAATATTTGAAGATTATTGCCTGGAAGGGTACTCAGAGAAAGCATGTATCTTGGTTCAGGCCTGATCACGCTCATTAAGAACATGCAATCCTAAACCATTAAAAAGCACAATAATGAGGATCTTTTAAATTTTCCATGGAACTTTTGAATCTCTGTGTACCAAAGTCACTGCATTCTCTGTGCATGGTACAGCATACTGCAAGTGGAATAGATGGACTTTGTCATCACCTTTGTTTAGTTCAAAGCACTTCTCCTCACATAGGGTGAATTTGCATTAACTGATTTGGTGTACCTGTTACAAGGTGAACTCAGAGCCAAATCCTGGGCATCCCTAAACCTTATACTCTAATCCTTTCACTGTTACACTGTTTGCTGCTCCCCAATTCACCTGGTACCTGCCTCATCTGCAAGCCCAAACTCCAGTCAGCTTCCACCCTTCTCAACCTGTCACTTTCCTTTATTTACATCCTGGAAGGACGGTGTGAAAAATGCCTCCACCCTCACCAGAGTGCTGTAGCATACACTGATAGCCTTTCATTGTCCTGTCTCATAAGGATCACAGTCCTTGGCTGGCTGTTGTCCAATGCCTAAAACCAAATGCCCCATACATTTTGGCAGGAATCATGGCTGTGTAGGGCAGTGGTGCTGAGAAAAAGAAAGATACTAGCTCCTTCTCTATAGTCAGAGGTAGGACTTCATTCCTCACTGCACCCATGGGGGGAAAAAGGTATTTTAATGTTTAAAAATCATTTGTCTTTAAAAATGTCATTTAAATAACAAATAAAGAAAATGATTTTATAGGCAAAGTAGAAACATATAAGCTTGGCACTTATAATGTGTTTGACTTAATGGCTTGTAAATATGTTTTGGAGTAATCTCTTTTGAAGAATTTTCTTGATGTTTGAACTTTTCCTGTATTTAGATTTGTATGCATCTTAATTCCAGAGCAGTAGACAAAGGAGTTCTTTTTAAAAATTTTTCTTAGAGAAAAATGTGAAGCATGATTGTTAATTTACTTCACAATAATCTACAGATTAATTTTATAAACTCTTTAACAGGTTTTGGATTATTAGCCCATTTATTTTTCATTTTTGACTT